ACTTTCCGATCGCACCTCGTACGTCTTTGTAGTGGTGGTTGGGCTCATGATACGCCGATACTGAGGGAAATATTTCATATTACAAATGCGATTCCTACAAAAGACGTTTAAGATTCATAAAGACTACAATTTTCTATCAAAACTTGAGAAAATTTTTAAGTACATTAGTGTCCGGTACTAGACGCCAATTCTTCTTAATGTCAAAAACGCAAACAATTTTTAAAAATATTTATCTTTACTTTTCTGACATTTTTTATTCGCGAAGAAAATAGTTCAAATGTATGAAAATTATTTTTTTTTTTTTTTAAATTTCACATTCTCGAAATCGTTACGTGCCCGGAATTATACGACGTTCCCCTATTAAATCAAGGTTTTATCTTAAAATCTGTGGCGTCTGAAAACCGAGAAAATACAGTATTTTTGTCATAGTCTTTGATGTGAAATCATTAACTCATTTTGTTAACGTCGTCAATGTTTGGTGGAAACTTTTCGAGTTAGCGACTGTTCGCCATAACGAACGGCGTCTCACCGACGAACACACGTGAGGAAAACATTAAAATAGCAAAATTTATGTAGGATTTGAGGTTTTCGCGGCGGTGAGTCTGAAGATGTCTGTCTTCTAATTTAAAGACATTTACAAAGTGCCATTAGTCACTATCATAAGCCAGATGAATCATTGCACACTGTGAATTCGTATTTCTTTAACAAACATTTTAATATTATCCTTCCGTCTATGACATGGTCTCCAAAGTAGTATCTTTTCCCTTAGGCTGCTGCAGACTAACGGAATTCGAACCTGAGACCCCAAGGAATTTTACAGCCCAATATCGAATATTAATTAAATTAAGAATATTTTAAGCTGTTTAACTTTTCACCGCCGGGAATCGAACCCGAGACCCCGCAATTACAAGGCCAGCGTTCTGACCGCTAGGCCACCCTTATTTGCCATCGAATTTGAAGTTGCGTGTAGTAAAATGTTGTTTAAATAAACGGTACTCATTTTCTGTTAACAGTAAAGCATCGTTGTGATTCGCGCGTGCGCACTAAGGATTTGAGTTGATAATAGAGCCATCATTTTGAATTTCCGAACTTAAAAGCGTATATTATAGGACTGTATAAAAGGACGGTGTGTGTGTGTGTGTGTGTTGATATATAATCTGTAATTGGAGGTCAAAATGCTTTCGAAAGAATGAAGGCGTGGCCCCTAACTACAAAATTACCCTGTGCCCTGAACTGAATTTATAATAATAATCAAATGATGGCTATATTATGAATAACACGCTTGTAACGCCGCGTAGTGGGAAATTCGTGAACTGAAAAATCTAGTGCTATTACGTCTCTATCCATGTTGTTTGAAGGTTAACTCGTTTAGTCTGGACGTGTATTTTGAATCAGCGAAAGACGTTTTCTTCGCCGTGATACAGCGTGTGAAAGTAAAAGCTATGAGATCTTACACTCACGTGATTATTTGCGTGCTCTCGTGATTTGATAGATATTTTCTCAGGGCACAAAGTTTATTTGGCGTCTAATGAGAAATAGATTACGAATTATGGGGGTTGGTAAATTATCGAATAAATTAGCCAGGACTAACTAATAATCCCAAGATTGTAAAGTTGCGTCATATTGTGATATAATAAGTATATATTAAATTTTGTCCGTCTAATCACAATAAATTCTTATTAAATATTAAAATATTACAATAATTAACATTTAAAATATTTAAAATATTAAATGATGTTCTTTATCGAAATATTCGATTTACATTCGACCATCATTTTTCATGTTTTCACGACATGTTTCAGTTCCTAAAAGAACCATCCTCAGGTGTATATAATTATATAAAGCTTCAAAACGATAATAACTTAAATACAATTTATTAAATACAATTTCTATATATTATATTATATTATTAATGTTTTTATCAGATTTTTACCAGATATCAAATGATGTCCTTTTTTTCAAATTTTTATTCCATTTTTATACTTAATATATATATATATATATATATCGTAGTACATTAAAGTCATTTTGCCTTGCCTGACAGCCTCAGTATTTCATACGATACATTTACGATTAAAATTAACAAATAAGTTTAACATTTAGAATATCAGATACGTAAATAACACTTTTCAACAAATTTTGTGTCATTTCTTGTTTCATGGGCGTGAAAGTAAGTTTGCTTTATAGATTTTGGTGTGCTAAACACGGAAATTGTTCTTTAAATCGGCAGATTGGCTCCTGACTGTTTCTGATAAAGTTTTAAGAGTTTGGTGGCTCTGTAACTGATGATAATTTAGAGAAAATCGCTAATACGAGACCCCAAATAGATAAATTTTAATGTGATTTTCGTAAAATTAGTCGAGATCGGTTAGTTCAGTTTTCGTAACATTTTACGTGTTGATCAGTGTAATTAACTGAGTAAATGAACGCAAAATATGAGTGTAAAATATAACAAAAAAAGAGACAAAGACAGAAAATGTAATAATTATGATACGACTTTAGTGGTGTTTATTCAACAACATGTCCTATTAGATATGAGAAAATAAGTCAGGAAAACGTCAAATGGGGAGAAGAAGAAATAGATGGAAGTTACGCTTCACAAAATGGCACGTGTACAAAAGAATTCAAAGAAAATTAATAAGAATGAGACGGTTAAATGAATTAAATAATAAGTTATTATGAACTAATTAACCTACTCCATGAAACAAAATCCTTCTTCAGACGCGGCCAAGAAATGTCTTATATTTTGAAGGACCCAAAGATTCAACACGGAGTCCCCATAGTGACCCAGATGATTCTAATGCGCACTAACCAACTCTGTTTACTTAAAATTCATTTTAATAATATCCTCCAGCCTGCAACTTTGGCCTTCCTTCCTACCCTGAACGTGTTCGTCCTCAAAATCAGAGTACAAATTTCACACCCATACGAAGCCACAGGTAAATTATAACCTTACGCATTTTTAGTATTTACGTTTTCAGAGAGTAGACGGGAAGACAAAAGATTCTTAACTGCTTGGTGGCAAGGATTCTCCTGATTTAGTGCTACCATCCACGTGACTATTTTTACTGCCCGGTGCTTCAGAATTGTCTTTTACTGCCACATTTAACTTTAATTAATTTTATTGAGTTTTTCATTCCTTTTATTGCTAAGCGTTTGCTGGAACTGAAAGACATCAGGTTTCTGATGTCGACTGTGTGGCAAATTATCATGTGATGAATATGTATGACGCCAATATTAAATTAGTCCTTTGACCTCATGACAGGGTTTCATTGTATTTGTAATATTTGGCTGATTATCGTTTGGGTGCATATTGTTAATCGGCCATGCCATCCGTAAGTATACATGATTGTTTCACCACCTTGTTCAGTATTGTTCTCACTAGCTTCAAATTCATTGTATTCTAGTGCTAGATTCAAATGACGTAAGATGAAAATTTAGGACGTTGTTTTTGGATAAAATTGAGTGGATGCCACTAAAGGTACTCATAGAGCACGTAAAATGTTGATATCTGAAAATTAAATAGGAAATAAAAGTGAGAAATAGTTACGAAAAAATAAAAACTTTGGACAAATTCTCATTGTTTGCAAAATGTAGCAGTTGAAACGATGAAGCTACGTTGGTAATTAAAGTGCATTTGATTTCTGTATTTACAGATCCTGAGTCCATTACAGGGATCAATGCTACTTACATCTCAGACACAGAGATTACTCTTACATGGGACTTGCCTGAAGGGGAGTATAATGCATTTGAGGTAACAGTTCATTTCATACGAAGTTATTTCACCTTTTGCTGGTACATTAAGACCAAGAAATTTGGTGTGTCATTAATACTGTAGATGCTCCTTGTTCAAATCTTGGACAAGTTACTGGTAGTTCTTATGGTTTGTCTTCCGTCTCAGTCTTCCTTTTGAATGCCAGGTACGACCTTGTCATTCATGATCATCTAGATAGTTTAATATTGTGTAACCTCTGTACTTGAAACATTACCAAACTTTTTGAACATGGAAGGGGCTCTGTTTCGCCTAAAACGTAAAGTTATCCATTAAAGACTTTTTTTTGCCAAAAAGAAGTAACTTTGAAACAGAATTTGTGTGTAGTGTTTTGTGTATGCCAAAGAGAAAAATGCACTATTTTAATTTTTTCTCATTTTTAATGCTTTCCCCGCAACTGTCGTTTTCCCCGTATTCTTCATTTTTATTTCTCTCCCCCGTCAAAAACGACGCATTGAGGTTTCACTGTACAAACAAAATATTATGATCCCCACTATTATATCAAGTTGTTGGTCTCCTCCGTCAGCCATTACCCTGTCATTTTGAGCAAACAAAATTCTCCTCAATGGTTGTTTCCACATTGCAAGTGGATTCCTACTTCTTTATTCTGCAGTCAGAGGTCAGGAAGGTCAAAAGACCGTAACTGAAGGCATTAGAAAAAGAGGTGTTTTAATGCTCTGCTCGTTTGTTGGCTTGTATCGCTAGGTGGTTTTAATGAATTCTTCTCAGGCGGTTCAAGGGCACCTTACAACCACCTGACCCAGCTTCAGATCATATGTAGATGTTTTTTATCACACTGTCAATATGAAGTTCTCCTTGTAAAGTAGAACTTCCACTTACTTGTATCAGTATCCTTGTGATTGCAGGTTCAGTACCTCAACGCTGAAGATGTTCTTATTCAGAACCTAACTCTTCACAACTCCATTACATTGAGTGATTTGAAACCTCACAGAAACTATACTTTTACTGTGGTGGTGCGCTCGGGTACTGAATCGCAGGTCCTTCGACGGTCACTGCCCGTTTCTGCCATATTTACGACAATGGAATCTGTTCCCGGCAAGGTAAGGAGATCTCATCACTGATCAGTAATAAATGTGAGACTTAAAACAAATTCAGAGTTTCTGCACAGTTTATTTGTAATGTTCGATTCCCGGCGGTGCCCGAATTTATATCTTGTGTTGGGCAAGGCCGTGGTCTAGGCAACACGGAGTTTTCCTCCGTGGCATCCCAACAATTACTCCATTCACACACAGAAGAAGGCAATGGCAAACCACTTCTGGATCATCTGCCAAGAACGTATATGAACAGGCCCCAGTTCGAGAAAAGGATGGAAGGATCCTGTTCATATGGACCTGTCCTCAGACAGAACACTAAATAATAATAATAATATAGAGAAACTGCGAGTTGCAATCAACCTGACATCATAACGTCAACACAGGTATCCCTAGTTATACGTGACTAATGGGTTGGTAGAAATCGCCGCGTAAAGCCAAATCGCGTATAGCGGATTACTGTCAACATGGTTATAATACGTTCCAAAACAGAGAAATTATATTCAAAATTTTTTTAAAAAATATTAACATTGCTCACTTTTCAATAAATGCACATATTTTTAATCAGATGATTAAAACAAATCCGGTGATTGTGAAGCACGATCAGGCTTTAGCCTAAATGATCACGGAGGATAGACGAATTTCTGCATAATCAGCGCCCTAATTTGGGTCTTCTTACTATCCGACATTCTAATTGCACGTTTAAGTCTTTCGTCAATGTTCTTTATGGTTCGTAAAGTCGATTCGGGGATTCTCATAGCATTTATTACGTCAACTGTGATTTCGATACGTTTATACATCGAAATCACATCTAATTTTCCCTCACGGGTAACAGATTTCCTTTGTTTCTAGCCATTAATGTTCTTGAAGTGAGCTTGGAAACTTTAAAGGCCTATATTCCTCAAAACTTTTCTCTCATCTTGTCGTGATCTTGAGGTGACGACCTTACATAACCTCACTCTGCCATGAATATGGTCATTCAGGTTCCAACAGATAGCCAGAAATATGCGTTTGAAAAAAGTGTCTTCCGAATGAACTTGAAAATTTCAAAGGCCTTAATTAGGAAAACCCATGGAATGAAGTTGTCGAGACCATGACATGACAATGACATGTCAGTGACCTCAAAATTACGTAAGTATTGTCACTCTGATTCCTACTGATCGGCAGAAATATGAGTTTGAAAAAATGACTTTCGAATTACGTTGAAAATTTTCAATACCTCAATTAGGAAAACCCACAGCTTGATTTTCTTGAGACTATGATACGACGATGGCCTGTCAGTGACCTCAAACTGACATGAGTATTGTCTCTCAGATTCCAACAAATCGACAGATATATGCCTTCGAAAAATGTAGTTTTGAATGACCTTGAAATTTTAAAATGTCTTTATCTGGCAAACCCTCGGACTAATATTGTCGTAACCTTGATATGAAATTGACCTGTCCGTGACCTCAAACTGACCAGATATACGTCATTTTTCAGAGCTCCACAGTCTTGTCGGAAATGTGTCACGTTTAATGCATCAGGACGAAATCGGCTCCAGTGATATCAGATCCGCGAATTATCCACAAGTGGTTTTGTGAGGCGCTTAGCCAGCACAAATTCCACTTTGTGAAATTACCAAACCAGTTAACACCCATTTACAGGGACATATTTCGTAAAATTAAATTTTAATGTTTTTTACAGACATAACCTCGTGTCCAATTAACAATATAATACATTTACATGAACTGTTATCAGCCCTGTATCAAAACGAATTTTAATCTTTCAAAGCACAGAGCTTTGACATCTTCATCTTTGTATTTTGCCCACAGAATGTGTTTTTGAGTTATCTATAATTCTCAGAACAAGCAGCGATTAAGCCAATTTACCTTGTTAGGTATAATTACTCTGAGGTATAATTTAAGCATTTATAGAGTAGTTTCAGCTTCCAAGGTTGGCAATTTGCCTCATATTTATTTTCTGCACGTTCGAATAGAATGTAAACAAAATACAAACACATCTTTTAATTCACAATGTTTCATCGTTTAAAAATAAAATATATTCGTCTCTTTAAATTACCAGATAATTAATTAAATACATTTTTGTTCCAGTTTATATAATTAGAAGGCAACATTTTAGATAAAATGTCGGCTGATTTGTCAATGCATTTCTACAGCATCTTCGGTGACTAATAAAATATTTTTTCACAGAAAATTTCATCGATATTCCGTCACAGACAGACATAACCTCAATTTCGTATCTTGTGAAAAGTCTCAATATTTTCCCTGCAGTCTGCAAATAATTTCAATTCATTTATGTCGTGAATTTAAACAACTTCATTAAATTTGTATCTTATATGCGTCATGTTTGTGTTTGATTAAATATATTTATTTTGTACAGTCTATACACAAACGTTTGAAGTTTATTGGTGTTGTAAAAAGTATATAATATTAAAACATTTTATTATGTAAAATATTATATTAGCGCTCTTAATCGTAAAGATCATTATAATATATTGCATCAAATATCTAATAGTTTTTAAAATATTTTAAATTGATAAAAACCTGATGACGACGGTATTACCCGTCGAAACATGTCGTTTTAATAAAAGCGCTAAAAAATATAATGTAAAATCGTATTTACGATTAAGAGCGCTAATATAATATTTTACACAAAATGTTTTAATATTATATAATTTTTACAACACCAATAAACTTCAAACGTTTGTGTATAGACTACAAAATAAATACATTAAACTATCTTGTTGTCTATATATTTTAGTGTTCAATAACGATCAGAATAATTCGATTTAATTTTTTGATCAGATGCAGAGACTCGAGGTTCCGATTCTACCCGAGGGATAAGTTTTATCAGCTACTTTATATGTTCTATTGTCGTCTGAAGGATTTTTCGATATATCGATTTATCGATCCTCGAATCATATCAAGTGTCTACAATGATTCACAGTTTCATAGATTAATTCTGTATTTGAGAAGGTTACGAGTCATAGTTCATAAATTAGGAAGAAATTCAACTACAAAACAAAGGTTGCAGCCCTCTGCTACAATCTACATTTTTTATCTTTATGGTTATCATTCGCTAGGACATACGTACTGACAAGACGTTTAATATCAGTGCTCCAAAGTTAGAAATGGGACCTAATGACTCAGTTATTCGAACGCATTAACACTTTCAGGACTTTAAGTTTCAAACGAGAGTGGAAGGAAATTAGGTCACTGCAAATGAAAGGCAGTGCCTCCTTTCAGCTATCTAAAATGGTCATTCAATCCGCCATCTGTTTATCTGAGACGAAATAGTACTCTAATTACCGCTTTAAAACGTCTATTCTACGAATCAGCACAGGAATAATGACTCATTGTGTAGTGTTGGCTAGAGGATAGAAACAAATACTATTCAATCCGAGCGAGATGTTGATCTGTTTTATCCTGTATCAACTGCACTAGTTACTTGAGTCTGTAAAACGATCAAGGTACTCCAAACTAATTTTAACAAACATAACCTCTACTTTGACAATAACGTTTATTATGGAAAGCTTCATTTTCCTTGGCCATCTGGTGGTGGGATATAAAACTAACAACTTATTAGTTCGTACAAATGCCCCTAGGGAGAACATAGGACTGATCCTTACCGCTAAAGATTGGGTTACAATGAAGATTATGATGGGGAGAGGGGTCCAGATAAATAACAATGGCTGCGAAATGCCTTGGGGTCAAAGTTCAATATTTCGCAGATATTCAGACTTACAGAACCGACCCTGTATCAAAATTAATGAAAATTCAGTGTCTTACCATCAGAACACTACTAACAGCCTGAGTTAATAGATTTAAAGTCATCTTTTACAAATTCTTGTTACTATTTTTATTCAATAACTTGTGTCGAAACCCTTCCTTCTTCAGTGACGAGTATTTTACGATAAATTAAACAACGTCTATAATCGCAAATTAAAATTCAATTTAACTTTAAGTGGTCAGGCTATTTAATATGGGGATTGTCGTACGATATAATCCCATTAGGATATTTTTCTATTATTACTTGTTTCAGAAGTTATTATTGGTATTAATATGATACAAGTACTGTGTGGGTGTGTCACTGTCTAACAAACTTTGTCACCGATTACCAATTATTATTGACAGACACTTTTTCATTCTACCTACATATATTTGCATTGCTTCTTATCTACAAGGACAAAATTAATTTCTGTAACAGAGTTTGTCAATAGATATTATTAATAAAATCATGTAAAACGGATTATAAAATTGCAAAAATAAATTAAAACATTTATTATGGCCCCTTCAGGCTTACATGCGTCTGATATTAATAACTAATAAATAGTGATGATGGATACAAACATACTTCTATCTATTATAGTTAAAAAAAATTAAAATATTTCTTATTTTATTTCATAATTGGAGAGACCTATATAAATGCATATTCTGTCTGTATCAAATTTGTGAAGATATAACCTCAAAGTTGAAGCCACCAAAGTGTTTGCGATTATCAACTTATAAACATTGTTTCTCATTTGTCTGAAGGAATACGTACGATCAATATTCATACAAAACTTCACATATCCATAGATAACAAATAAACAACTATAGAAATAAGTAGATATTTCTAGTTATTTATTAGTTATCTCTGTAATATTATCAGCCAAAGAAAATTTGTCCACGGCCGCCATGTTCTTGTTTCACTTTTCATAAAAAATAATGGAAATTGTTCAAATTTTTGGGATATGTTCTACACACAATCCTATGGCTTATTTAGTCGTTCCCACCCCAGGATCAAAACGAACATAACCTGTGTCACGTGCCCCAGGACAATACACACCTGTACTGTACGACATTGGTGTATAAACGTCACAAAACAAGACAATTTTCATGCTCTAGTCTAAGTACATGCGTGGGAGAATAATACTTAAAATGACCTTGAAATATTTCAGGCCTCTATCTCTCAAACGGTTTGCCTGATCTTGTCATGGTCATCACATGACCTTGGCCTATTCGTTACCTCTTTATGACATGAGTATGGGCAAAAAGTTACTT